AGAGAGGGGGCGGAGAGGGGGGACTTCTGGCAAATGGTTAAGAAATAGAAATTCAGCTACGTTTTATTGTTAAAATATTTTTAAAGACACCTTCTGCTTTGAATGAAATTTCTGCATCACGAATGTTTTAAAACCCTCTATGGTGAAGCATCAAATGGAAACTGAAATGATCAAAAATGTATTTACCCCCTTCTGTGATCTTATTATTTCATGTAAACCACTGAGATTTCACGCTGAAATAATTATCATTAGTCCAAGGCACACATACAAGAACAGGGAAAAAAGCTACTTTCAGGGTATGTTATCTCACCTTTGTGATCCTTTCCATTTGATTGTATACACGCATTGTAAGAGAAACTACTTCAATTAACTATGAGAACAATATTGATTTGCATCCTGATAATGATCACAGGACAGATTTAGAAATAGCTGGAGGTAAATATTTCTATTACATTAATTGTGGCAAAATTTTATTATTTAATTAAACCATAAAGGAAATTGGTAATTATGTGATTAGCATAATGGTACCCAAACCAGCTTTTGAAAGTCTAATGCACAGGGCACGAAGGCCCCTGCAGTATTTTTGCATGACAGATACATAAAGTATTTTTCCGGCCTGGATAAAATATCAAATTCCTTTTCGTTACTTTTTCCTTTGATGTCTAAGTAATGAATTAACCACGCATCCCGAAGTGATTGCATAGGTTTTTCTTGCACGAGATGCTGCTTTAGAAATCATCTTGTTTTATATGTAAACCAATATTCTTTGTGTTAAGGAAGTTCTGCAGCCGGACAGTAAAATGTATTTCAGTGAGCTATGTGCAAAGAAGAATAATTATTCTTTTCTTTTACCTTTACCATCCTAATTAGTGTTTTCAACTGATAAATGTGAAGCTGTAAGTCCATCCGGTCCGTCAACCAGGTGCAGATCACGTTCATGGAGCTGTTGTACCATTGCTGAAAAAAGAGACAAAAGTTCTCCAGCCAACACATCACGGAGCGTTTGCAGAGGAGAGAGGCAACAGGCCACGTTTGAGCACCTGCTCTGTTCCGAGGAGAGACTAAATGGTTAAAAGAGAATTTGAGAGCAGAGACAAATTGTGAACATTAATCGACACAAAATCACAAGGTACCCGATCAGCCTAAGAAGAGATGGGTTTGGACTTTGAATCTAAGACAGAACTCTTCCACCATCGACATCTCCTACACGATCAATTCACATAGACCATTTTTGCTCTTCTGATTCTCCTTTTTGTTGGTTAATTTTACTCTGTTGAGATTCAAGTCACTGTATATTTCTTAATGCCACTGTTTCAGATGCCCAGGGAGATGGGGGGTTTCTCCACGGAACAAACTGATGTCATTTTGCTACTTACCTCTTGAAAAATCCAGACCCTGTCTGCGGAGGACAATGCTGGGATTTGGGCTGAGAGCCTTATGAATTGATGGTGATGTGTACCTTCATTTACCCTACTGGGGCACTGGGATAGAGACAAGGAAGGAGGTTTCTCTTTAAGGGCCAACTCATACTCTGGGCAGCTTCTGTGCCCTTACGTTGGCTGTGCAATCTGTTTTAATCTTAACACCAAAAAATTATGGAAGATGAGAGAAAAAAACCATCTACAAATGAGCTCATTTCAAGCTGTTGAAATCATACTTCCCCTTAAGGGGGTTAAATTTTGCTTCTTGTCTGTGAAAAATGCTTGAAGCTGTGTCACTTTAGACTGCCACCCCTGTGGTGCAGGAAGTCTCTGGTGCGGTATGATTTTGCAGTACTGCTCATATATTCATAAATCTCACTCGGAGACATATGAACAGTGTTAGGAAGTGTCAGTATGAAAAAAAAATCTAATCTTTTAAACTTCACCAGGTTTCATTACGCATTGCCGCTTATACCAAACAATTTACAAATAAAATGAAAAGGTGTGGATGGACCTATATATTTATTTATGGGGCATCTATATGAACTGTGCACAGAAGAGATGTAAGAAAAAAAGAGTGGTTAGAGAATTGAGACGATGCACCCTCTCATGCTAATCAACACGCATGCACACGTGTGCGCACACACGCACACGCACACACATTGCACACCAGTGGGGATTTGAAAAGCATAAATAAAAACATGTTTCTGATGGTAACTCCACCCTTTCTCACCTAAAGATCATCCAAAATCAGTTTATGCCTAACACTCACAGTTTTTCTGAAGCCTTGTTTCTGACTTAATTTCTTTAAAAAAAAAAATTAATTTGGGTTTTTTACTTGCAAGGTAGCACTGCCAAGTTTCACCTTGTAAGAAACGACACAGTCTCAGCCATGGCGTTCAGAAGCCCTCTTTGCAATCTTTCATTTCTAGGCTCCTTCCTCATCAGAGCCAATTGTGGCTCTCCTTGGAGCCCAGCCGCAAACAGAGACCACACTACCCCAATCAAAGCGGTATTGCAGCCTCACAGCCAACTTCTGCTCTTTTAAAGATCATGGAGGCGAAACTGTCAGTTTGAGGAACCTTCTGTCCCTCCCCAGGGAGCAGGCGGGGTGGGGGGTGGGGATTTTTTCCCCTGAGATTCACGGTTCACTCCATGTAGGAGGGGGTTTGCCCGGGTCAAGCTGCTTCAGGCATGGACAGGTTTTCCCCTCTAGGAGTGAGAACATTTTACTGAAACTTTTTTGGGGGGTGGGGGAGTGATTATTGGGGAGTGTTTTTGGCACCTCCTGCCTTGGGATTCTGGAGCTTTTGCTGTCACTGCATCTGGGTTTGTGAAGATGGGGTCTGGGGACAGAAATACCACTGGGTCACTGGCGTTCCTGCAGCCCTCCCTTACTCACGGCAACTGGGGGCTCTCTTGTGTTCACCCCAGCCCTCAAATTCTGTTTGCTGGGCTTTATCTGACATGCAGTAATATATTTCGAGAGTCACAAGCATCGGTCCCCCCCTCTACTGCCCACCTCCTGGGGTTGGCAGGTGACCTGCAAAGAACGTGGGGACTTCCTGGCCAAACCTGCAAACCCGGGGCCACATGACGGGTGCATCTCGGGGACAGAGAAGAGGAATGTGGCACTCTGGCTTCTAGGCAGAGGTGGCATTTTGCTTTGGCTGTGGCAACGGGCAAACCGGCGCTGGCTGGTATCAGTGCCAGCAAGCCTTGTGCAACATGCCTTTTTCTCTTTGCTGAGAGACGTGCCACCTTTCGGGGGGAAAAAAAAATAACGACCCCCCCCACCACTTTGTATAAGTACTTCCTATTCTTGTAAAATGGCTTTTGGAGAGTAAAAAATAAAAACACAAATAAAAAGGTAGGATACTCTGAATCCTCTCTCTCTGCTGTGGAAAGGGTAGGGAGGTAGGCAATGCGTATAGCAACGGATCAGTGTATCACGCTTGCCGATTCCCACCCCAGGAGAACAAGAAAGCCCTGGAACATCCATGCCTTTCCTCCTGGATCTCACATCTAGCAAGAGAAGTGTAAAAAATGTATGATGCCCCATTGGCTACGCATTTCAAGAGGCAAAAGGGAGTAAGTCACTCCTTTCCAAACCTTATGCTCAGTAGATGAAATTGGAGGCACACAGCACTAACTTGGATGCGGCACAGCGCTAACTTGGTTTTCCAGAAAGGCGCTTAAAGGCATTTGGATGTCAGAGGAAGCAAGAGTCACTGCCTTCTAGAACTTTAAAATGTTAGAGGTGAAAAAGACCTTCCCTGTTATCCTTTGTAGAGAAGGGAACAAAGGCCCAGAGAGGTGAAGTGACTTGCCCAAGGTCACGTAGCTGGTGAGTCCCCAAGTGGAGGTTCTTCAGGATTAGGCACTGCACTGAAATAGCTGATCATGGAATTAGTCCTCACTAGGCGGGGCACAAGAGCGTGCTGGTCCGGAGAGCTGAGTGTGTGCACCTCTTTCCAACTGCACGCTCAGGGTATCGCATTGACAGCTAGAAATAGGCCTTAGTGGGAGTTTTTACACTGTGGAAATTGGCAAACGCCACAAACCAGGGCATTCTCCCTCCCAGAAAGCCAGTTGTTAAACATTTATCAGCACATTACTGGGTATCTGGGTTGTTCCTGCTTGTTCTCCTGTGGTGCTGCTTATTCAGGTTTGCTTTATTTGAGATTGATGCTAACAAAGCAGATTTGTTAGTATTCTTCAAAACAGGAGATAAAACATTTTAAGGTCTCCCCATTTTGTTTTGTCTTGCCTTTTCCAGAAATATCCTAACACCTGGACACTAAGATTTCGATAAAATGCACTCTAAACCCTAGGATAAAAATTGTGAGCTGACGACATGGACTAAGTATTTAAGTATAATCATGACCCCTTCGCTAGCCTCCCCTTTGTTCAGGTATATTAATTGGAAACTTCCTAAAGTTACTTTAATCCTAAAAAAAAGCACCAGAGAAATAAAATCCCCAGTACCCGGGGCCCCTCTGAAGTATTCTCTGGGGATGATTCGGTGAGGGTTTTGGAGCTGGAACCCAAAAGGATGCCCATCCAAAGGAAGTCCCTTGGAAAGTTGGGGACTTCTCCAGTAGTTGCAACCAGATCTGAAAGTTCTACTGAGGAGGAGCTAGAACGCTGCTCTGTCATTTTTATCTTTCTTTCTTCCTTTCTACAATGGAGTCCTTAAGAGCAGAGGCCCCACCTGTCTTCTTCCTGGCTTTGTGAGCTTTGGCAAATTATTTACATTCTCAAAGACGCAGTTTCCTGAACAGAAAATGGGGATTAATCAGCCTTTTTTTGTAGGCTTTTTGATGACGCAAGGAAGGTATGCTAGGAAGGCTCTCAGCCCCGTTCCTGGCACATAATGAGGCCTCGAGAAATGTGAGCTGTTAACCACCACCACTGTTAACCACCATCACCACTCACATCTTCATCACGATCACCGTCATCCCTCTATGCTTTTTCCCTCTCTCTCTCTCTCTCTCACTAAGAAATGCCACAAAACAAGGGAGAAAGCTGAGCAAGTGACCACAGAAAGGCATGGGGTGGTGGAGAAAAGGGCTCCTGATGGAATACCTCTGGAATTGTATGCATGAGTCTTATAGGCCACGGACTAACTCTCAGCAATTCCATTGCAAAGTATTTTGTGGTAGATCATCACCCAAACCCATACAACCGTCCTGGGTGCATAAAGCACATTTTTAACTATACTGACCTAGATTTAATATTGGATGAAAAGGATTCAGACGAATAATGCATGATTTTTCAAACTTCGTGTGGACAAGTTACAGCTTTAGCTTGGGTTGGCTACTTATTAGCTGGATAACCTTCAAACAAGCTACTTAACTGTCTGACCCTCAGTCTCCTCTTGGGGTTAATACCAGTACCTACTTCATAGGATTACTGTGAGCATTAAAAGAGATAATTATGTAAAGTGCCCAGCAGAGTTACTCTCACATACTAAGCACTCAATAAAATTTAGCAATGGGGCGCCTTGGTGGCGCAATCAGCTAAGTGTCCGATTCTTAGTTTAGGCTCAGGTCATGATCTCAGTGTCGTGAGATGGAGCTCTGAGTGGCTCTCAGCGTGGAGTCTGCTCATCCTTCTCCCTCCCCGTCTGCCCTTCCCCCCACTCATGTTTGCACGCATGCACTCTCTCTCAAATAAAAATCTTTAAAAAAATAAATAAAATTTAGCGACTATTACTACTCTCAGAAACATAAAGATATCCTTTCAATATACAACACAAAGGAATTTTCATGATTCATTTCTAGTAGGAGCTTAGACAGTTAATATGCAGATCTCTTCAGGTAACACCTTGTACCCTGAACACATACTGACTTCAGGCAGAGAAACCCTTATACATAACTGTCTCTTCTGTAATATCGGGGTTCACTGTAGCCAGGATTAGGGTTAGGCTAGTGAGGCAGGATTCTGCAAATGCAGGATTGGATATTGTCTTTCTTTCTTTTTTTTTTTTTTAAAGATTTTATTTATTTACTTGAGAGAAAGA